GTAAAAGTACAAATACTATGGTCCTAAAATACTCCGTTTCAATTATAAGTCCAGCTGGAACCAGAGAACACGGTGATGTTCAGGATTATAAAGTAAAGGAAACTCACCTAAAATGTTTGATGGTCTTATTTTAACAATGTAATCGCATGACTCCTTCTGATTTTAGTCAACATTTTTTTTCTGTCAAATTTCTTTTTAGTCAACCTTTTTTTGAATCCGGTTTTTTTCGTCAACTATTTTATTTCTGTCAAATTTCTTTTTTCCTCAACTTTTTTCTTTTTGTCAAGTTGTTTGTCAACTTGTGTCTGACTTTCAGCATGAGGACAACTGTCTCTGTTGTTGGAAACTCACCTAAAATGTTTGATGGTCTTATTTTAACAATGTGATCACATGACTCCTTCTGATGTTACTGCAGATCTGCTGTAAGCTAGCTAGCTAACGTAGCTAACCTAGTCATTTCAGATATACTGACAAACACTGACAGTTATGAGACAGACTATTTCTGCCATACAATAGATAACGTAACATTAGTATTGTAAAAGTGTAACAAGGGTGAATACATCTAAGAAGATTTAATATAAAACACATTGAATAAAACAGTCTGGTAAATTCAGAGAAAAAGACGTTACTAACAATATAAAGATATACAAAAATGTAATTCAATATAATGTAATAAAAATATAATAAACAGTCAGGTTCATTCAGAAAATTATATCATGCAACTGCCCTTACAAATATAATTACAAAGTCAAGTAAATTCGGAAAACAATATTACGCTACTGCCCTTAAAACGGGGAAATAATCATATAAATATATATTTTTAAAAATAAATGATATTATTTTTAATGTAATCCTGAGGGTTGTCTCAAATAATGCCTGTCTTCTTATTGATTGTCTTGGAAAAGCTGGTTTTATTTCACTGGCATGAACAGAAGATGCAGTAAAATGGAGATTCAGCCCAGTAAATACAAGACATCAATGTTCTTTGACATTTATTAAAATCTTCCAAAATGACGGCAGTATATACAATATTAAAACATTTCTTTTTACATACAAAACCAGATTTAGATCTCAAATAGTCATCTTTACCCATAAAAATTCATAATTCAAACTTTTACATTTACAAAAGGCTCCCCTCACATACAGGACATTTATACCAGTGGTGCCCAAACTACGGCCCGGGGGCCATTTTGAATCGGCCCTCAGCAAATTAAAAAAGTATTATGAAATATGGCCCACAAATGAAACGTCTGCTTGTCTTATATGTAAATGTAAACATAAATTACACAGTAGTATTCATGTGTTAATAAGACCACTTTTCAAATAAATGCAGTCAATTTAAGCTGAAAACATTTTCTAACAAATCTTAGTTGATAAGAAATAAGTCCAATAATATATTTACCAATCAATCTTGAAATAGACCCTTCATATTTCCCTTTATTCTAATCAATCTGAGCTTCAGTTTTAAGGAATGAGCTGCTAACAAGATCAATTAAACCCTCTGGATAGCTGTGATGAAGGCTGTTTGTTTTCTTAAAGCATTTTCAAGAATCAAGCATCATTTGATTGATTTTGCTAACTTATAACTTACTGTAACTTATGACGCAATATTTAGTATATTTGTTGGCCCTCAGTGAAAGAAGTTTGGACACCCCTGGTTTATACATTTGGTTCCAGCTGAACGTCACAGTGTTTAAACGGCAGGAGTCTGACTCTCGAACCAGTCCAACACTGGTTTCTTGTTCAAAGCGACCCACTTCATGTTGGCTTTGGTCCTCTCCAGCGACTGCTCCAGAGCCGTCGTGCCCGACCCGAAGTTACCCGCGTTGTCTTCTTTAAACTGGAGCAACTGGGGAGAAATGATGAGTGGGGGGTTTACTGGGATTCAATAATCGTGCCATGACAGTCTTTGTTGTAACTTCTTTTATTTAAGGTAGTACAAACATTTTATTATTTACTTCTTGACAAAAGTTAAAGGTCCCCTATTATGCTGTTCATCAATATATTATAGGTCTCAGATATACAGAACCTGTCTCTGATTGGCTGAAACACCAAACAGATCATTGCAGCATTACCCATAATCCCCTCTGTTTCAGCCCTGTTTCCAAAGTGCTGATTCTCTGTCTGTTACTTTAGATGAAAATAAGGAGCCCCTCCCCACGCCCCTCTGAGAGACATTTGGTTAAAAAGAACTCAATGGAGCTCTAGGAGGAGATTCAGGTGATTCAGGTGATAAGGTGGGGGGATGTAGAAGAGACATGAAGAAGAGGGGACACATGTTGATGTAGAAGAGACATGAAGAAGAGGGGACACATGTTGATGTAGAAGAGACATGGAGAAGAGGGGACACATGTTGATGTAGAAGAGACATGAAGAAGAGGGGACACATGTTGATGTAGAAGAGACATGAAGAAGAGGGGACACATGTTGATGTAGAAGAGACATGGAGAAGAGGGGACACATGTTGATGTAGAAGA